TGAAAATAAGAAGTCTGCAATGGGCCGGTTGGCCTGTGCATGGCAGCTGCTGTCGAGAGTTACTACCACTCTCTATCATCCATGAATCTATCTCGCCTCCTTTTAAAACTTTCCAGCGTTCCAGCACTTACTACAAAGTTGCTAAGCTTGTTACAGTCGTCAACCACCTTATTTGTGAAAGGAATATCCTTCCTTCCTTAGGCTTTAGTAAGCCCCTTTATAATATTTATATTGTACATACTTGTGACACTTGCCAGATGCTTCTGGTGACGGCACTAGGATCCCGCTTCCTCTATCAAGGAATAAACAATTGAAATTGAATTGATCCAAGTGACGCGCTAGGTATTTACACTATCAAGGGCAAATAATTATTTTGGAAATGTTGGTTAGTGATCCCATTACATAATTTACTTCAGCAATAGCAGCATATGGGCCCCGGTGACGATACCTACCACTCTTACCCTAACAAAAACTTCAACTGAACAAGGTGTTTAGCATGAAATAACCAGGCCGATAACCCTCATGTACGCATGTATGTATGTATGATTTTTACTCAATAAATTCATACAAAATCAAGGTCCCAGTACAGGTGGATAAGTACCCCGCACTGCAACAACAATGTACCGATACTAATTCTAGGATTTTATTCATATATCCACATATTAGCTTAGGTTAACAGCCATCTTAATAGCAGTATTATCTATCTATCCACATGCTAACTTTGGTTAATAGCCATCTTAATAGCAGTATTTTCTGTCCGAGCCACGGCATCCACAACTCCTGTACACACGGCGGAGAGCTACACTACCTCCTCCTCCTCCCTGGACCCCACAGTACAACACAACTTATCACCTTACCTTCACTCAACTGCTAATAACTACAACGTAGAGTCCTGGAAGTCCTCACGACGCCACAAACACGAGGTAATCCACAAACAGCAAACGTAAAACATGGAAATAGCGATCAAATACTGTATGACCTCACACACGCATGTTGCCGCCACCACTGCCGTACCTCTAATGATCACTGGCGAGTGGCGAACCCGAGGTGCTTCGATTCCTTAAATCATTGGTTCGCTTTACTGATTCATATGAAAATGATCGACTGGGCGGCGGAAAGAACACCATGCACGTTTGGTCCGTCATCTATAATCTCATTAATTTTCTTAAATCACTTCTATCCACCATTTGCTAAAATAAAACTGATAATTATTAACGAAAGATAGTTATGAGTTTCGAAGCTTCGTCAACGATCCGCTCTTACGTCACTAAACTAGTCCACAACCAAACAAGCAGTTGGCTTCCACGGTTAGCATAAGCGTAATACTTCCATTACTATTTTTATTATTATTATTATTATTATTATTATTATTATTATCATTATTATTATTATTATTATTATTATTATTATTATTATTATTATTATTATTATTATTATTATTATTATTATTATTATTTGGGGTTTTAGGCCGTGAGACGTGAGTTAATGTTCGACTGATGACTCGCTCTTTGCTCATGAAAAATATCAAAATTCATCAAATATTAATTTATTTTTCTTTCTAGGGTGTGTAGGTGGGATGTGTGGAGGATGGGTATGTGTGGGAGGAAGGGTGTGGAGGTAGATGTATGGATGGGAGGAGGGGTGGGTGGGATGGGTGGATGGGAGGAAGGGTGTGGGGTTGGAGGTAGGGTGTGTGGATGGGAGGTACAGTAGGGTGTGGGGATGGGAGGAGGGGGTGGGTGGAAGGGTGGGAGAGTGTGTGGATGCGGGGAAGGGTTTGTTATTTATTTTAGATTGTTTGGCTCTCTGAGGCTGGCTTGAGGTTTACGGCTGAATAGCTGAAGTGAACGGCTGGCTGGTTTAGGTGAATGGCTAACTGGCTGAGGTGAATGGCTGGCTGGGCTGAGGCAAATATCTGGCTGGCCAAGAACCCCACCAAACAGATCCTCAATGCCAGACAGGCTGCATGTCGTCATTGGCAAGTACTGGGCAAGAACTGGCTCCAGAATGTATCTGCACCTGCGCCAGTGTTGGTCAAGTCTGGTCTTGAAGGAGCTCACTCTCGGTGCTGTCACACTCTCTGGCAGAGTGTGCCAAGAGTTTACCACCCGCCCCGCTAGGCTAGTGGGGCACGTCCCCCAGCTCCAAGTATGAACCCTCGACTGAGTAATGCCCTCTGAGTTGTTTATGAACTTCAATTAAGTCTCCCCTTGACTACCTGTAGTATAAGCCAGGCAATTCCTGTAGGGGGAGGGATATAAAATTTACCCCGCTTAAGAGTTTGATAAAAAGCAAACAAATATGAAGCACTATGAGTGTATTGTATGTGGAGATTAAAGATTCACATGGTATACTGTGTGTGTAAACTGAGAATATGAACACGTACTGTGTGTGCTTGTACTGTAGTACCTGCTTTTATTGTACCATCAAAACCGTTTTATCGGAAATTTTCATGTAAAGAAATAAGCAATTACCATTGCAATAAACATAATTGTCAACTAGACATAATCCTGACAGCTCTGTCCTCTTGTTCAACCTTATAACTGTACAACCCATGTTGTACTGCTCCCCCATTATACTTATGTTTTCAATTCCACTGTAATTTATATGTATATGTGTATGTATATATATATATATATATATATATATATATATATATATATATATATATATATATATATATATATATATATATATATATATATATATAAATAGAAAATACAAAAAAATAAATAAAATAAATAAATATTGAAGTGATAACCGTGGTAACATTATGAGATGTTCCTATTACCACCATGTTATTGTACTATTCCAGATGATACTAAATGTTACATAATACTTCCTTGAGATGAATGTATAGTATATATCAGGTGCCTCAAAGAGAGCTCAGGTTCTCAACCGGCTCAGCCATGTTATTATTGTTATTATTATCCACTCTGTATCTGTATTTTTCTGGCTAAATAAACTGTTTCAATTCAATTCAATTCAATTCAGTATCTACTGGCGGGTGGACGAGCAGGACTGTCGAGGGATACATGGAGGAGGGGGGCACACTAGTCGTTGAATATTAAGTATATGACCACCTGTACCACCACCACCACCACTGTACTGTAGCAGGAAGACTGTATGGCAAAAACACACACATACACACACACACACACACACACACAAAGGGAACTAGCAAAAAACATATGTGGCCGTATAGTGATAAGGAAGGGGGGGGGGGACTGTTGTTGGTGGGTGGCTGGCTGGCTGGTTTTAGACAGTCAACCCTAGTAGTCAAGGTCATGGCTTATGGGCTCAACCTGGCCAGTGTGAGAGTGTTCCTGGCTGAGTAAACACCTAGACCTCTCCTCGCTTACGCACGCCGCACCTACAACAAAAAAGTCGCCCCCTCTTCCAACTTAGACCACATAACGCTGTTGAATTTATCTTCCCTTTATTGACCTACACATAACATTCACCCCCTCCCCCACCTCCCACACTCCACCACAACCACCACACTCATACAAACACTCAACTATATCCTTCCACACACCCTTCCTTTACAAGACCGGTCCAGGACAACTTTTCCCCATCAAGTCCCTCCCCCCGCCGTCTTTACACAGGAAGTCCTATTTCATTTCATAATCAATGCAGGACTCGTGGAATATCAACACCAAAACCCAACTTGACGAGAGTAGACAGTGATTGTGATAACGACGACTTTTCCGCAGTATTTCCTAGAGGGGCGTCCATCATTTTGTAGAACGTGAGGAAAGATGGGGTCGGTACACATAGATCATCTGCTGTCTCTAAAGAGGTTGGGGACATTATTTTATGCCGTGAGTCCAAGCAACACCACCTTTGAGAAAGTTGAACAAGTCCCAAACTACATCAATGAGGTGAGTGAAGGAAGTGAGTGAAGGAAGTGGGTGAAGGAAGTGGGTGAAGGAAGTGGGTGAAGGAAGTGGGTGAAGGAAGTGGGTGAAGGAAGTTGAAGTGTGAAGGAAGTGAAGGAAGTGAAGGAAGGGTGAAGGAAGTGAAGGAAGGGAAGGAAGCTGAAGGAAGTGGGTGAAGGAAGTGGGTGAAGGAAGGAGTGAAGGAAGTGAAGGAAGTGCGTGAAGGAAGTGGGTGAAGGAAGTGGGTGAAGGAAGGAAGTGAGTGAAGGAAGGTGGTGAAGGAAGTGGTGAAGGAAGTGGGTGAAGGAAGTGAGCGGAAGTGAAGGAAGTGAAGGAAGAGTGAAGGAAGTGGGTGTGAAGGAAGTGGGTGAAGGAAGTGGGTGAAGGAAGGAAGGAAGTGGGTGAAGGAAGTGAAGGTGAAGGAAGGAAGTGGAAGGAAGTGGGTGAAGGAAGGGTGAAGGAAGTGGGTGAAGGAAGTGGGTGAAGGAAGTGGGTGAAGGAAGTGGGTGAAGGAAGTGGGAAGGAAGTGAAGTGAGTGAAGGAAGTGGGTGAAGGAAGTGGGAGAAGGAAGTGAGTGAAGGAAGTGAGTGAATGAAGTGGGTGGAGGAAGAGAGTGATGGAAGTGAGTTAAGGAAGTGAGTGAATGAAGTGAGTTAAGGAAGTGAGTGAAGGAAGTGAGTTAAGGAAGTGAGTGAAGGAAGTGGGTGAAGGAAGTGGGTGAAGGAAGAGAATGAAGGAAGTGAGTTAAGGAAGAGTGAAGGAAGTGAGTTAAGGAAGTGAGTGAAGGAAGTGGGTGAAGGAAGTGAATGGAGAGAATGAAGGAAGTGAGTTAAGGAAGTGAAAGGAAGTGGGTGAGGAAGAGAATGAAGGAAGTGGGTGAAGGAAGTGAGTGAAGGAAGTGAGTGAAGGAAGTGGGTGAAGGAAGAGAATGAAGGAAGTGAGTTTAGGAAGTGAGTGAATGAAGTGAGTGAAGGAAGTGAGTTAAGGAAGTGAGTGAAGGAAGTGAGTGAAAGAAGTGGAACGAAAGTGAAATGAGTGAAACTGAAAGGGAATGAGTGAAGAATAGGTTTGGTCAGGTTAGGTTAAAGTTAAGTTAACCTAGGGTTAAGTCAGTTTTAAGTTAGGTTAGGTTAAGTTCGGGTTAAGTTAGTTCAAAGTTAGGTTAGGTTACATTATTACTTGACTTAACCTAGGTGGTCTGAGGTCATAGGTCGTTAGTCAAAGTGTGTACAGTACATGACCTTACGGTGTTAGTATAGTTTCATCTACGGAGGCGACATTTTTCAGGGAGTGAATCTGTTCCCACTATGAAGTGCTCTATGCTGACCCACCTGCCCACTAAACCCACCTGCCCACCTCACCTACCTGGCCCCCTGCCCACCTACCCACATTTACCCATCTACCCACATTTCACCCAACTCGCCCGCCGAACTTACCTACCTGCCTCCTATACCTACCTCCCCTTTTGTCCACCTCACCCACCTGCCCCCTCACCCACCTCACCCACCTGCCCCCTCACCCACCTCACCTGCCTGCCTCCTCACCCACCTCACCTTGCACGCCTCATCCATGCAAGAACTCTAACGATGCGATGAATGGCGACCACACATAATCTTTTTTTGCCCCCGAGACAATTCTATTTTTGAAGTTATGAAGCTCAAATGGCACTTGTGGCTGTGGTAGTGTGTTGTTATTATTATTATTATTATTATTATTATTATTATTATTATTATTATTATTATTACTTCTTTTGTTTCATTTTCTTTAATATATTTTTTACTCTCTCTCTCTCTTAACCAATCCCTGCCCTCTCCCTGGTAGGCTGTACCATGGTTCACATTAACGGTGGTGTTGGAACACATCCTCGGCCTCCTGCGGGGGAAGAAGGTGGGACGACTCAACGACAACGTCACCTCCTTGGGACACGCCATCCTGTATGAGTCGTTAAAGTAAGTACAATGATAAGAGGAGGCAGATTGATGCGACGACTACACGACACGAGGGTAGATTGATACGACGACCACAAGACACGAGGGTTAGATTGATACGACGACCACACAACACGAGGGTAGATTGATACGACGACCACACGACACGAGGGTTAGATTGATACGACGACCACACAACACGAGGGTTAGATTGATACGACGACCACACAACACGAGGGTAGATTGATACGACGACCACACGACACGAGGGTTAGATTGATACGACGACCACACAACTTCGATATGTTTACCAGTTGTCTGGGGCAAAAGTAGAGGCGTACAGATGTAAACCTTCCTCATTTCTCGCTCCAGCAACAACAATTATAGTGTAAATACATAAATATGCAAAACTGATACGTACATAACCCTGACGTTATCTCTAATTATACAGGTAACATCTACTTATGGAGTAGGTGTTGCTGTTTCTTCTCTATAACACCACCTACAGTACTCTAGACTCAAGAACTGGAAGCGAGGTGTTTGTTATTGCAAGCTCGCGATCAGCCCAGATGACATAACACTTGTAAATAACTGACAGTGATTGAATATATATGAAAACAAGACTTTCTATCACTAACAAACTAATTTCCTATCAGTTTTCAATATAGTTTATCTCAATATATTAAAATTTGGATGGTGAAAATGTTTATATAATTATTAGGACTGTCATAGGGCGGGTAACCCTTCCAACGATCCCGATAGGAAGTCTGATCACCGGGACTGCCTTCGGATCTGTAAAGGATCCCGAGTAACGACACATGATCATGATCCCGGCCTTGAAGCCCTCAACAAGAATAGGAACTACAGCACCACACCCACAGCACCACACCCACAGCACCACACCCACAGCTCCACATTCACCTTATCCACCTCTCATTCTGTCACATCTTACCCACCAGGCAACCAAACCTACCTGCCCCCTTCCCACCTCACTAACCTGCCCACTGCCCACAGCACCATACAGCACCCCACAACACCACACAGCACCCCAGTACCACCACACAGCACCCCAGCACCACACACAGTACAGCCTCCGTCTTTATCTCGGCTACCAAGAGTTAAGGTAGACTCACACAGTTTCTCCTCTTTCTTATTTAATTGTAATTCAACACACTCGTTGGGTTTCTTAATTTGTGTTATTTAATGTTATCACCGCTGTTGTCATTATCAGAATGTTGGTTATTGTTGTGGGTTATAACATGTTGCCAGACTAGCAGGTACCGGTTTGTTGCTTTCACGAGTGCCGTCACCACAGTATAATTTGATTTTGTTATATTGGCAGTAAACCAGATATCACCGGCGGACGTATTTTTGATGGTGTGCTCAGTGGTGGTATTCATTTTTAGGGGATATGTGTAGTTTGAGAGATAAAGCTCTCCCCAAAAAAATAAAAATAAAATAAACCCACTAGGATCTCTTGTGAGGATTCCCCATTGATTCCTCCACCCTCGTAGGTTGGTACAGACACACAAGGAATGATAATGTGACCGTACCAAACCAGGATGTTAACAGAACAATTCTTCTTTTTTTCCCTCTGATTGTTTGCTAAGATTGCTTTAGTCGCATCATAATAAATCAATCAAAATATTGGATATAATCTTATTATGCTCGTTACCTACCGCCGTCAAACTCAAAACAAAACAATAGCGTGCCAAGCGCCGCCACCTGCGGATCGCGGAACATTCAACTAACGTTATTGATAAAGAGGCTGCATTGATTAAGTAAAGATAAAAATATATCATAATTAGCACTTAAAAGAGGGATACACCTTTGGTTAGATGTTTGAGTAACACAATCTTTTAGTATAGTATCCATCCATTAGAGTCAGTTCGCATGCAGGCAAGAGTTGGATGAGACCCTTTAGTAGCAGAATGTATTTGACCTTCAACGTTAACTGAATGACTATATTTATCCAGGTTATATTGAGTTTTTTTTACATAACAAAGGAGGGTGTAACATTACTTCTTGACCTCTACTGGGCCTGGGTGGTTGTTGGGAAGGACAGGAAGACTTGTCTAGCCTGAAGCGGTTCAGGTGGATCCAATGCGGGATAAACCCGGGTCATGCGTGGGAGTGCTTGTTGTATGTCCTGCAATATTTTTATCCTTTAGAAGAATATGTTATTGTTACGTTTATTGTTATTGTTGTTATTGTTATTATCGTGGTTGCTATTGTTTTAGGCGTTTAAACAAAAAATCCAAATTACTATGCACTAAAGTCTAATTTCGTCCAACAGACAACATTTAAAACAAAGCAAAATTATGTTAATGTATCTAATTAAGAATACATAATAACACAGGATCATCGTTAAGGCGCTGCTGCTGCACGACAATTATAATTTAAATCAAACCACAAATCCCAACTGCGCATACGAAACTAGTTTATACTTTATGGACAAAACAAAATGACAATGTACCAACCTGATGGACCGTAAGGAAAGCTACATCAGTATTACTACGACCATATACTAAGATTGTATTCCAGGTTAACAAGTATACTATAGTTATTGAAAGTTAAATGGGAGGTTAATTCTGATGTTATGATGTATTACTGCGTGTTGATAACCAAGACCATGAACTCTTTCATTACGATGACTTAATCCCTTAAATATGATGACTCGGCCTCTTCAGTACGATGACTTAATCCCCTTGTCATCCCCCCTTATAGCAGGAGTTAGTAAGAATTCCATAAAAAAAATCCCCGTATGAACAATATCCTTATTTCCCCCACCAATAAAAATTTCCCCATATTTTCCCTGTGTACAAATATATCCTCCCTACAGTGTAAACATTAAATAGTATCCACCTTCACCTCCCAGGTTGTTTACACGCTGGTTTGAGATGAGTGGATACCTGTGGATCTACCAGTACCGCTTCATCGACATCCCATGGAACTCTCCCTGGGCGTGGTGGGCGGGCTTCATCGCTGCAGATTTCGTGTACTATTGGTTCCACCGAGCCTCACATGGTCAGTCACTTCACCTGTGTGTGTTCGGTCGTGGCTGTTACGTTAGGTTAGGTTCACTGTTTAGTCGTAGGTGTTTGGTTAGGTTAAGTTAGGTTGTTTTTGGCTAATTTTTCTATAACCAGAGCTAATTATGTTAATTAATTTCTAAATGTTGTTGTTTAAAACAGAAAGTTACTTAATGACTTAGTACCTAAATTTAACCTATGTAACCCAACACTAACTTAACTAACTCAACCCAACGCAATCTAAGCTTAATCTAACTGAAACGTAACTTAACATAACGTAACGTAACTTAACATAACGTAACGTAACCATCTTCCTTTGTACCATACAGAGGTGAGTGTGTTTTGGGCGTTGCACCAGGTCCATCACTCACACGAGGACTATAACGTAACAGTGGCACTCAGGCAGTCGGCATTCCAGAGGCTCTTCTCCCTAGGCTTCTATCAGCCCATGGCACTACTGGGTGTTCCCCTACCAGCTATATGTGTCCACTTCCACCTCAACCTCCTCGTGCAGTTCATTATCCACACCGTTCTCATCGACAAGTGTGGTCCGCTGGAGTGGATTCTCAACACGCCATCTCACCACCGCGTTCACCATGGTAATTTATGACTAGAGTACTTTTACTACTACTACTACTAATACCATTATCACAGTACGACAACAACTACTACTAATACTACTTTTATTATGGCATCCAAACTCCCCTATACCTTTTCTGACATTTTATTACCTAACTATCCAACTACAAAATTATCTCTCCTCGATGAGATATTTAAGTCGCAGATCTATGCGACACTCAGCTACAATGTGACTGTTGTTGGTTTATGGGACTAGGGTTTTGTTCCCTTGAGGCATAGCAGAGCAGACCTGAGCAAAGAGAAGGATACCCTACACCTCAACCAGGCCATGACGTAACTTGTGAGTTGCTGCTTCTGTTCTGATAACATCTCGGCCAGTCTGTCTATTTGGTTCTGGCCTGACGGAGAGAGAGAGAGAGAGAGAGATGGTCATGAATAACAAAATTCCAGGGATGACTTAACTTCTCTGGTGACGACGTGAAGTGAATAAGTGAGGGTGACAGGTGAAGTAAGTAAGTAAGGGTGAAAATTGAGGTAACAGAGGTGAAATGTGGGGTATAGGGATGTGGTTAAGTGAGACTGATGGGATAACAAGCAACACACACACACAGGTATGACTGGTAAGTGTTGCAAAGGGACACTTTAGTATGCCAAGCAATCTTCACAGGCATAATGATATGTGTGTGCGTGTGCGTTTGTGTGTGTCTTGTGTTTGTGTGTGTCTTGTGTTTGTGTGTGTCTTGTGTTTGTGTGTGTCTTGTGTTTGTGTGTGTCTTGTGTTTGTGTGTGTCTTGTGTTTGTTGTGTGTGTGTCTTGTGTTTGTGTGTGTCTTGTGTTTGTGTGTGTCTTGTGTTTGTGTGTGTCTTGTGTTTGTGTGTGTCTTGTGTATTTGTGTATGTGTGTATGTGTGTGTATATTTGTGTGTGTGTTTGTATGTGTGTGTCTTGTGTTTGTGTGTGTGTGTATTTGTGTGTGTGTGTATATATGTGTGTACATGTGTGTGTGTGTGTGGTGGTAGCAGCAGGAGGTCCCTCAAGGTTATTTATTCATGATTATTCTTTGTGTGGAGGATGTGGAGAAACACACGTTCGCACCCCTCCCCCACAGACACGTCCCCACACATACCCATAAGCTCCCCACAAACAAAAACACGTCCTCACACCCCACACAGACACGTCCTCACACCCACACAGACACGACAGACACGACAGACACGTCCTTCACACCCCACACAGACACGTCCTTCACACCCACACAGACACGTCCTTCACACCCCACACAGACACGTCCTTCACACCCCACACAGACACGTCCTTCACACCCCACACAGACACGTCCTTCACACACAGACACGTCCTTCACACCCCACACAGACACGTCCTTCACACCCCACACAGACACGTCCCCACACCCCACACAGACACGTCCTTCACACCCCACACAGACACGTCCCCACACCCCACACAGACACGTCCTCACACAAACACGCCCTCACACCCCACACAGACACGCCCTCACATCCCACACAGACACGCCCCTCACACAAACACGCCCCTCACACCCCACACAGACACGTCCTCACACCCACACACACACCCTCACACCCCACACAGACACGTCCTCACACCCTACACAAACCCCCCACACAAACGCCCCCTCACACAAACACCCCCACATCCCTCCCGCCCGCCCCTAATACGCAAAATGCTGCGTGTGGCCAATAAGAAGGTCGCTACGTCACACACTGTAGCCAGGTGCATGTGCTATTATCCACTAGGAGAACAACAAATATTCTGGCTGGAAGAATTCCCCACTCCCTCCCTCCCCTCCCCCCAAAAAGTAAATAACGTCATAAAAATCCGAGCCAAGATTTGGATGAACAGAGAAACAAGGAAACTAAATAACAGGTGGATGACGAATTGGATAAACAATGGAAGAAACAAAAATGAGCGTCGCAAATATGTTTCCTTCCTGAGGCTACGTTTCTCCTTGAGGATTAAGCGGCGTGTTTGATGACCAGTGCATCATAGTTGTTGAGGCGCAGTAGCTTCCCAGAAAGGCTTCTCAACATGGACAACCCTCACGTTACTCTGCTCGGCTCACCATCGGTCGATAATGATGATGACAATGATTATAATGAATATGTTATCACTTCCTCATTATTATTATTATTATTATTATTATTAACAAACACTAATATAGCAACTGATGGCAACAAAACTCCCCACAGGTGCTAACAAGTACTGTCTGGACAAGAACTATGGCGGCTTCCTGATCATCTGGGACCGTCTGTTCGGCACCTTCGCGGCTGAAAAAGACGACGAGGAGCTCGTCTACGGCCTCATTGACCAACCTCAGGCCAATGGCATCTTATACCTCCAGGTGGGATTATCAGTTCTTTTTTTTTATTTGGTAATAGTGTTTCAGTCATTATTATAATACTGTAGCCTTGTGATGTAACTATTCATTTTTGTTTGAGAATAGTCGCGTATGTGCTTCTTTATATCGAGAGATATTTACAGCAAGCATAGATATGAGTTCCGTGAGATAGTGTTCTCTTATCTCTGACTATTGAAGAACTGTCGTCTCTAAGGGTGTGGTAGCCGGCAAGATTTTCATAACACTCACGTATTTATATTAAGAGGTTAGACAGTTGATCTCTAGCCATGCTGTGAGCAGTAGTATAATTGGGTTATTTGTTGTGCATACATAATAGTCCTGATCAATGGACGTGTTGCTGCTGGTATGCGATACTGAGAGTCTATAAGAGGAGACACATAGGGATAGAACGAGGGAGAGTGGCTGTGTGCAGGGGCGTCATTTGGGGCGGGCTTGGGGGGCACTCGCCTCCCCCCAAGACCTGGCTTGCCCCTCCCAAGGGCTGTCTTGCTCTCCAAGGCAAATTATAATTATATTCCTTTTTCATATAGATGAATTTGAATTTGGTGAGAACATCTCAATGGTATTTTTATAATGCATATTTAAACAAAATGATAAGTATTCATCCATTTTCATCGTTCCCATCTCCTATCATTTATAAACTGAATAGCAGCGAGGAAGTAAGTCACACGGTCCACACCGGGCAGATGTAAATTCAAAACATAAAACGTGTTAGAACGTGTTCAGTCTGTTACAGCACCACGGTGGAGCAGGATTTTGACCCCTATTCTTTGCATGTAATGGTGCTGCCCCCCCCCCCTCCCTCCCCCTAAGCAAAATCTGAATTTAGTCCCCTGGCAGTGTGATAGTTCTTGACTCTTGACACGACATTGGTACAGGAACGGGATTATGATACACTGAGTCTAAAATAAATCCATTCTCTTTTAGTTCTTCTACATCCGAGAGATCATCAATAAGGCGAGGATGCAGGAGACTTGGGGGAACACTGTGAGGGCCCTGATCTGTGGCCCTGGCTGGAGTCCTGGGTCCCCTCGCCTCGGAGATATGGATACCTTCAAGGACGTCAAAGCACCACGGGCCAAGTACGATCCTTACCTACCCTCCTGGCAGAAAGCCTACGTGGCTATCCACTACCTCACTATCCTCTTCCTGCAGCAGGTCCTGACGTTCAATCTGAAGGTGAGACAATAGGAATTATCGTCGTCTGTTTCTCTGTCTTCTACCTGCCTGCCTGCCTACTAGGGTGTGTCAATTTCAGGGGTCGAAGTGCAACTTTAGGAACTTTTCTGACGGCGGGTCATCAAATGATGCATTTTTACGAGTGAATTTCAGAAATAACCTTGATTTTGAGATTGGAGGTCTCCTACCTACATCAATTTCCATTTAAATTTTGGGTTTTAGGCCCAAAATGCTCAAATTTCCTGTTGGTATCTATCACCATTGTCCTGAAATGAGACACTGGAAAACCGTATTTGCAGTTTTATTTAGTAATGTTTGACAACAGTATCAAGGTTTTTTACTTTCCTCCTTGTAGTAATGATCGCGAGCAAGAATACACTCCACACACGGAACCTCTGTATTACAACGACTGACTTTACTGTTGCAAACGCGATATACAAAAGCGGCCACACAATGCAAACACTAAGTACAAACACGTACATATGTACATACATATGCTCACATACTATACTCTTCACCTCTTGAACTTGGTGAGAGAGGCCAAGTCCTGCTTGCTCCTGTTCCTAGACACCATAAGTCTGCTCACCAATTGGGACTTGATCATCCCATCCCTTTTCTTGTGACTGTAGACATGGGCAGCTGCCTCTGTGACCAGTTTGGCACACCTCTCCACACTCTGAGTATGTGAAGGCCAGTCTGACACCTCCATAGGCTTGTGCACAAACTGCTTGACTTGAGCTGTGGTGAGGGAACAGGTGAGGGGAGGTTCAGTGACCCCAGTGGTCCAGTCTATCAGCTCTGACTGCTTGGTGGCATCTGGGTTTATGTCAGGTGTTCTCCTGGGCCTGACAGAGTTGTCACCAATCTGTGTCTCCTCATCTTCCTCCTCCATCAACTCCAGTATCCTGTCCACTGCCCCTCTCCTCTCATCCTCCACCTCACTGCACAGTATGGCCCGCAACACTGCCTCTGGGTGTGTATGCCAGGCTGACCTCCTCACAGTGGGCATCACTATGTCCAGCACCTTCTTCTTCTGACTTCTCAGCAGCTCCAGCCGGTATAAAATGTGCCTGGGCCCCTCCACCCAACTGTGGTTGACTTTGATGTTGTACCAGTTCGGCAAGTACACCCCCACATTGAACTCCACTGTTATCTTGAGATTCTTCTTGTGCTTCCCCTTCAGTCCATGTTGAGACACCTACAGTCTGCACATCCTCAGTGCAGTTGTCAGCCACCTGCTATGACAGACTGGTCCAATTTCCAGCACGGTCAAGTTGTGAGGTAGCTCTCCAGTCCTGATGGCCTGGACAATCCTGTAGCCATAGGACTGGTCTGTAGAGAGGTCCCTCACAACCTCTTCACTCAGCTGGACCAGAGGAGGCCCCATACAGATCTTGGCAAACTTGGGATCTATCTCCAGCTCTGTAGCAGTGTCCAACATCTCGCCAATCTTGCCACTCCACCTGTTGTTGCTGAGTGCGGGGCCATCCAAGCTGATGATGAGGTGTCTCAGGCTCAACTCCCCAGTATGGAGGTCACATACTAGCCAGACTAGCCTCCAGCCCAGCTTGGCCACATAGTGCGTTACTCCTCCCTGGTCAGCTCCTCTCTCCCTCAGCCAGTCCACCAGATTGTCTGCAATAACACCTCCATGCGTTCTCTCCTCTGTCGCCTCCTCAGGAACAAAATGCCTCGGGTATCTCCCTCTTGGCTCACTGCATACAGAGTAATGCTCCTCCTTGATCATGCCAGGGAACAGTCTGTTACTGCACTCTGCCTCCATCATTGCTTTAGTGTCATCACGTCTGCCATCAAATAAGATGCAGCTGATCCCAGTCTCCCTTACCTCCCTCTCAAACTCCTGGTCCAGCTCAGTCATTCGTGTACTTGAGGGGAGAATTCACACAGCTAAGTGATGCGAAAGTCAAAGAGGGTATCTTTGTTGGCCCACAGATAAGAAAGCTACTTCGTGATGACGACTTTGAAAACAAACTGAATGAAAATGAGCTCGCTGCATGGAAATCCTTCACATTTGTAGTCAAGGGAAACAAGAAAGAAGAAAACTATTGCCAACTTGTAGAGGAACTCTTAAAAAACTACAGAAACTTAGAATGCAGGATGTCCTTGAAAATCGACCTCCTACACTCGCACTTGGACTTTTTCCCTGAGAATCTGGGGAGGTTAGACGTATGGAGGAAAGTTACCGGGGTAGATGAGATCCTGCCATGATGGGGGACTATTGCTGGTTTTTACAATCGGAGGACAATACAACACATAAAAGGATTAAATAAACTAACAAATACCCAAACAGTGGCTAATTTAACACTTTTTGTGTCTTCTTATGATTGTTTTCATTATTTATTGAATTTTAGTGTGATGACGTGGAAAAAGGTAACAGGAATAACAGTATTTTTCAGTTTTTGTACGTGTAAGATTGAATTTTTTGTATAACAAATAAACTGTACGTGCCAGAGAATTTTTATTGCCAGATTTGAAATCAGCACCTCACAATTACCAAAAGGAAGCTGCTCTGAATCATGTTACGGATTTTTTTTTTAATTTGTTGCCTAGTGTAATCAGTACATTTAATACTTAAGGTTCTTAAGTCAAGGCAGCAAATTTGACACAGGTATATTTAAACACCTCTCTTTCCTGCAGACTTACTCCCTGTCGACGGCCGTGGTGTTCTTCGCGTTCATTGTAGTCAGCATCAGCAACATAACGGTGATGTTCGACAAATGGATGTGGGTGGGAGTGGTGGAGGTCGCCCGCTGCGCCTTCTACGTTGCCATCGCCCGCTCCACACCCATTACGGGCGTCTTCTCCATCGATTTCCTCCTCCAAATGATCTTCTTCGTCTCCATGGTGTTGTGGACCCTCAGGAGCATGTCGTTCACCCATGTCAAGCTCCTTTAAGCAAGTTATTGTGAGCAAAGTTGAACTACCCTTGTTGGATACCAAATCTTTTAGTTCCTGTGAGAAGAATAATCTTTTTCCTGTGAGGAGTATAAACACCTTTCAAAATTCTGAGGAACAAGTTGGACGATCACTGTTTACAAAAGCTAAATCCTCCTTCAGAATCAGTGTTAATGCCGAGGTTCCACAAGACACTCTTATTAGGAGGCTCACTGTGACAGAAAGATAATTCCTAGATCACCTGTAAAAAAAGACACAACTTGGCCACTGAACATAAAACTCAAACTCAAGACTCATGTGCAATGTTTTCTCCCAGCTGGAGGAAACAAAACTCTTGTAATTATTTCGTTTATTCATTGTTTTACTTTGGGATGGACTGGGGAGGTACCCATGACAGCATATATATACCCTGAGGAAGTAACCTACATTCAAGCCATGCGTCAATGCGTCACCTAACCCACACAGCTTGGAATAGAATAGGTGTATCTTCTCCTAGCCTGTAGTCTTTATCGTTCTATTTGCCTTTTTTTTTTACTTACAGGGATGTTGTTATATTATAAGTATTGTACTGATTCACAAGAGATATCGATCACCATGATGGGGATTCGAACCCGAGGACAATGGACTCGAGCTTAGTTTACGATTACCACTCGACAATCATTACCCACTTGATTTGCAATAGAGTTTTGACGCTATTTTGATCATCTGTTTTGGGGTTAGTTTATTATGTTCTCAAGCCAAGTTAGGAAGAAAATTTAACACATTCCAAGTTAGGGTTAAAATTTAACATATTCCAAGTTAGGGTGAAAATTGCAAATAGGAAATTTGGTTCTAAAAACAGGAAGAAGCATTGGGTGTCAACACATATAAAATGATGACTTGTGAGTATTATTAGTCTGTCATGCAGATGTTTGTAAATATTTCTTTAATAATATGCTGTATAGTTATCTCTTTGTCTCGTCTATTTTCGAAGAGGACGACGAGTTATTGTAACCAGTCTGGCATCATCGTCGTCATTATGTACTGTTGTCGTTGTCATCGTCTTAGTCCAGATGCTTCGCTCAGTAGTCTTAGTGATGCTTTTTATGCATCAAACTCTTACAACACTACTAGTGGCATTACCTTACTGAGCTAACACTTAGTATGTTGATAATAGCAGGTGCTCGGGCGGTGGGGGGGGGGGGTGGGTGGTTAGTGTTGGTGGAGAACTTGTGATGAGCAGAATGTGTAATGGAAAAGCATGATGGCGTAGTGTGTTGGTGTAGTGTGATCGTGTAGTGTGTTGGTGTAGTGTGATCGTGTAGTGTGTTGGTGTAGTGTGATGGCGTAGTGTGTTGGTGTAGTGTGATCGTGTAGTGTGTTGGTGTAGTGTGATCGTGTAGTGTGTTGGTGTAGTGTGATCGTGTAGTGTGTTGGTGTAGTGTGATGGCGTAGTGTGTTGGTGTAGTGTGATCGTGTAGTGTGTTGGTGTAGTGTGATCGTAGTGTGTTGGGTGTAGTGTGATGTAGTGTGTTGGTGTAGTGTGATGGCGTAGTGTGTTGGTGTATGTGTGTAGTGTGATTGTAGTGTGTTGGTGTAGTGTGATGGCGTAGTGTAGTGTGTTGTAGTGTGAGTGTGATCGTAGTGTGTTGGTGTAGTGTGTGGCGTAGTGTATTGGTGTAGTGTGATCGTGTAGTGTGTTGGTGTAGTGTGATGGCGTAGTGTGATCGTGTAGTGTGATGGCGTAGTGTGTTGGTGTAGTGTGATCGTCGTGTAGTGTGTTCAGTCGTAGTGTGATCGTGTAGTGTGTTGGTGTAGTGTGATCGTGTAGTGTGTTGTACAGTCTATAATCAGGTACCACGAAAAGAGCTCATGTTAATATTGTTATTCTTGTCCACTCTGTATCTGTATTTTTCGGGCTAAATAAACTGTTTTAATATTAATGTGGTGGAACAGTGTGATGGTGTAGTGTGGTGGAGCAGTGTGATGGTGTAGTGTGGTGGAGTAGTGTGATGTAGTGTGATGAACCAGTGTGATGGTGTAGTGTGGTGGAGCAGTGTGATGTAGTGTGATGGAGCAGTGTGATGGTATAGTGTGGTGGTATACTGTAGTGTAATGGAATAAAAAGATGATGTAGTGTGATGGAGCAGTGTGGAGAAGCAGTTATGGTATAGTGTGATGGTATAGTGTAATGGAACAGCATGATGGTGTGGTGTAATGGTGTAGTGTGATGGTGTACAGCAGTGTGATGGAGCGGTATGATGGTATAGTGTGATGGTGTAGTGTGATGATATAGTGTGATAAAGGTGTTAAGCTACAGGTGTGATAACTGCAAAAGCATCTTTAATTTAGATCATCACTGAGAGAATTTACCCAAATTAAAACTTCAATGGCTTTTCTATATTTAATTTTCCATGGCTGTTTTATATCATAATTAATTTCATAAAAGAATTATATACTTTGAAGTTGCTGAAAGAAAAATCATAACTTAAAGCTACATTGAAGATTATTAGTTGGGAGATTACTTCAGCTGATGTTACGCCAAGTGCTTATTTCTCTATTTACAGAGTTATTTTACACTGTTTTGTTTTCATTATGCCAGTATTATACCTCCATTTTATTATTTATTTTTAATTTTTCACCCATTGTCTGAGAATTTCCTACAATATCACTGAAAATAATAAGACTGAGTGAACGTTTTAAGCCGGTTAGTTTCGTTCAATACGTTCTCTCTCATCCTGATTGACAAGGTTTCTCTGGAGAAGTTACACAGTATTTTATATTAGAATATAGCTTAAGTGACCTCTCTGTCTATGTATGTCTCTATGTTTTTAGTCTTTGTATCTCTTGTATACCTTATATTTAAGTCTCCGTTATATCCACCATTATAACTATGATAAAAATAAAAATATAATCAATATACCCTATGTTCGTTTGTATTCGTACGTGACAACTGATGATCCAATATACAGAACTGGAAAATAAAGGAAGTTATACCAAGCAAATGAAAGATTATCGGTCAAAGGTTAAAAGTCAGAGGTTAGAGGTCATTAGTATTGTTAGTGGCTTTCTTTAGAATATAACTTCTCCAATGATCAAGTGGGAATCATCTAATTTTACGTTAACTAACATGACAGAAAACGGACGTCTTAGTAGGGGGACTGAAGAAAGAAATTATAGCTACACGTTTTATGGGCTATTAAGCGTAATATGAATCATCTGATTTTACGTTAACTAACATGTAAGCCGGTGGTCAGTACAGTGGTACCCCGCTCGTCAAGGGTACACAATACGATTTCATACCATTAATCACCACACATACTGTGATCATACAGAAAATCTCCGATTCACACTAGGACACTTCCACGAATCCCTTACCCTTACAGTTTAATTTTCAGCCTTTCATGGGGTACACTGTCGAAAGCTTTGGAAAAATCTAGGTATATATTGTTGATATTGCCACCCTGTTCCAGAATTTGGGTTCAAACATTCAGTACCTTGAGTAATTGTGTTAAACAGGAGCGCCCCGGCATAAAACCGTGGCAATCCTTTACAAGGTTGTTTCGTATTATGGCATCTCTTATAATGCTCTCAAGTACTTTACACACTATGCTGGTCAGGCTCATTGGTCTATAATTATTCATGGAGTGACGATAACCCTTCTTGAAAATAGGACTCGCATAAGCCATTTTCCAATCACTGGGGACCTTTTGCCCATCCAAGCATCTACAGAACATGATCTTCAGGGGCTCAGCAAGCTTGTTGCACAACTCTCTTAGCACTCTGGGATGTACCGTGTCAGGGCCGGGACTCTTAGGAACCTTTAGCTTTGAAGATTTATTTCGTATAACCTCGTCTGAGAACACAATGTGGGTCAGCGCTGTGTCAAACTGTCTGTCCTCAAATGCAAGAAGATTGTTTTCATCCTCTCTTGTGAACACCGAGGAAAATAAACTGTTCAACGCCTCCGCCTTGTCCTGACGAAACACCGACTCGTGTTTTTAATTTCGACTTTGCGTAGGTAAAACACCTTTGGATTTGACTTGACCTCACGCGCAATCCGCCTCTGGAACTCTTTTTCAGCCCTTTTTCATTTGATTTTACTTGATTCCTGGATCCGGCATACATCCTCCTGTCCTGCTCATCGTGTGTCCTAACCCACGACTCGAATTTCTCAGTTTTCTTCTTAACTTTGGTTCAGGTGTAGCGATCGCTCTCTTTTCCTGACTTTAAAACAAGTAAATTAACTCAGGCAAAGACAAGGGAAGTTAAAATAAAATAAAACACCAAAAAAAAACAAGACGTTGGTGGAAAGGGGGTAAAAAACCAATAACACAAGGGTCAGGAGCGAGAAAAACTACCCCTACACCCCCAAGCTTATACGCCTATGTCCGCTTAAACTAAAAATTTGTGATTCCGGTCATTGTGAACATCAAGTAGTAACGACGGAAGCACTCATTGGGGTTTTTTATCACGTGTGAACATTACATAAAGTAAATTTTATACACAATATCAGAGTAGAATAGTGTACCGTATGTTCATTACCATTCTCTTATATCTTGAAATAGAACATGGATGGGAAACTTAGGCAATTTTGAATAGCGCACAATTTAACTTTTCTGTTAATGCGATATTTAAAAGAACAAAGTCTATAGTTTCCGTTTAACTGAAAGATCTTATGTAGTTAAGATTCGGTAGTAGACATGGACGGAACTATATATTGATTTCCATAGAGCAGCAGCAGTACACGCAGCAACAGCACCACCACCACCAGCAGCAGCAGCAGCAGTACACGTAGCAGCACCACCACCACCAGCAGTACACGCAGCAACAGCAGCACCACCACCACCACCAGCAGCAACAGCAGCAGCAGCACCACCACCACCACCACCACCGCCAGCAGTGTTGTAGGGGCGTGAGATCGCTGTCACCTATTATAGGGGATCTACTTCCGATAACTTTACTTTCTCTCTCTGTCCCACTACTTCAACAATTACTATACTTTCTGACTTAACTTCTGACCTGTGGTGGCATGACTCGAGGGTACGACACGTGGGTAAATGTAATAATACTACCAAGATATATGGAGAAAGTAAAGGTGGTCACTGTAGGAAAATAATACCCCTAACATACAATAAAAATGGGTAATTAAAATAATGCTAGACTGTTGACTACTTCCAGTAACTCACTAGTGCCAATATCAACTCCATGGCAATACTCAGACACTTGTCAACACGATAAACTACATATTTCACAATCACCCATACTTGGTGTACCTGTAGAAAACGTATACACTGTAAATATACATAGAGAATACTTGGGATCCAACAACAACACAGAGAACCTGAGAGATTGTTCTCGTTGACAGAACAGGACCTGTAGCACTGGTATTCCAAATAAATACCTCCCTTGCTACTCTGTTACATAGCATAGCAAAACGTGGCAGCCTTCACACTAGGTTAACTCCAGACTCTCATACAATTGGAGATGACATACCAGAATACACGGGCGAAATTACGACCCACGCAATACTCAGAGGCGGACTCATACAAACAGCGACATTGCCTGAGCTGGTGTTGTTTACGTCGCGGGGGTGCACAGGGATAGTGCACGTCCTTAGTAGCCAACTGGTTCACAACATAACATAACAAATGTAGACGTCGTCCCAGGGTGACACAACCAGCTTGGCCTTCAGGTTCCTCTGTGTACGGTTGGAATTCGTAGCTTAGAGTGAGTGACACGAATGTTGTAACATTACTTGGCTGAAGGCGCTTGAATACTATTTAGACACAACACAGCTACGTTAATCGCTCACTTCATATTCAAACAATAAATAAATAGGTCAAAAACACTCAATATAACGAGATGGAGCATGGACTATTAGACCTTACCTGTGTGCGGATGGAATTCGGAGCATAGAGTGAGGTCAGGTCGTGGCCTGGAGTGGCGGTCTCCAGCCAACGTCTCACACACTCACGCCACCAAATCGTAACTTACAGATAGTTCAACTACTTCCCTCATTCTACACATTGCCGTATAAAAATTAGGTTACGAACCTAATTTAATCTTCTAAGTTTTGCTTTACAAACTAAGCAGTGACTGAGCTCTCAAAGACAAGAAAAAACTGACGACAAATACTCAGAATGGCAAAACTGAGGGGTGAGTGGGGGGCGGGGGAGCAGATAAGAGACTCCGTTAAACTCGAGCGATAAATACGTTTTCGTGCTTGTATTCAGATAATTATCTAAACTTCTTTAATACAAGACTGACAACACTTTCTATGTTTCCTCCGGATTCTCTGATGTACATATATAAAAAAAATGACTATAGCCTCGAACGGCCGCCTCGTAAGAACACACAAGACATAAGTTCTACAGCTGGTAAACAGAATACTCAACACATAATCTCTTTACACAAAATACTCTACATATAAGATACAAGAAACCTCCAACATATACTCAATACATCTAGAGTCTTTCCTCTCCTTGTGGGTAAACATTCTTGACTGTACAATAAATTTATTCAATCATAATTTCAAATTCCCTGAGCATCCTGAGTTATTTAAAAATACCCGAGTCCATGAGCGAGTACACAAAAAAAACGGAGGACTAAAACATTCTGAAGTGAATAGAGAACGGACGTCTCGACTGGGGGACTCAAATGTTTCACATGTTTTGTGGTCGCTGAAGAATAATATGAATAATTAAGTGTTGAACGGACTAACTGCACAAACGTGACCATGGCAGTGTCATGGTCACGTGTGTGCAGTTAGTCCGTGTCGACGTCCACACTAGTATTTGGAGATGGAAGAACGTCAATAAGGTCAGATATCGTCGCCAACACAGTTATGGGGTGAGCCGAGATCTCACCCACAGGCCCGCAGCCAGCCGCTGGGAGATTGTTGGCCTGGACGCGTTCACGCCCGCGATGTAAACATGACCTGTTCATGCAGTGTGGTTGTATGAGTTCACTGTTAAGTACACTGACTTTGGGTGTGTTAATTGTCCGAGAATTCATGTGTATAATCTTCTCAGTGCTATGTATGTTTAGAGCTAGCAAAAGTATGAGGTAAGCTGATGTAACCACGGTAGCTCTACAGGAATTTAGTTGTGGGTTGCTGCAGTCCTATTACTGTTTACAAGCTACATTTTCAAGAAACCTGTTCGGTTGATGCTCCAGTGTACTATAGGTGAGATCACAGTGTTGGATGGTTTTGTGAAAAGTACACCAATTTGTTTGTATACGGGAAGTTGTATTGTACCTTACTGTGACGTACAATGGGTGGAGCCATGGAGGTGATCCGTGCAGTTTGTATACAGAAAGTGTATTGTTTGGTACTCCGGTGTACGAGGTATCAGGGTAATGTGGTGTCTTGTTTAAAAGATACACCAAGTGATGGTGACTGCGAGAGATGTACTGTACCTTGTTGAGAAGTACATGAGTGTTACTTATGGTAGTTGTGTGTACCGGAAGTAGTCAGAAGTCTAGCATTTTTTAATAAACCATTTTATTGTATATTTTCTTCCCCATATCTTGGTGCCATAATTACAGTTCCACGGGTCCTCCACGGGTCTCACCCTCGAGCCATGCTGCCACAGGTCAGAGTTAAGACCGAGAGTACAGTAAAAGGTGTAGGTAAGAGGTTTTCCCACGGTTACAATGGACGCAGCGATAGGGAATCCCACATAATGTTCTTAACTACTTTATTTAGTACATTCAGAATAACACAAACACAACAGACTGTGACGCACAGCAGTAGCAGCAGCAGCAGTAGCAGCAGAGGCGGCAGCAGCAGAGGCGGCAGCAGCGCGCAGCACGGCGGCAGCAGCGGCAGCAGCAGCAGCAGCAGCAGCAGCAAAGCAGCAGCAGCAAAAGCAGCAGCAGCAGCAGCAGCAAAAGCAGCAGCAGCGGCAGGGCGATCGGCAGCAGCAGCAGCAGCAGCAGCAGCAACGGTACAAGCATCAGCAGAATCAGCAGCAGTACCAGCAGCAGCAGCAGTACCACCACCAGCGGCAGCGGTGCCAGCAGCAGCGGTACCAGCAGCAGCAGTACCAGCAGCAGCAGAATCAGCGGCAACGAGTACAAGCATCAGCAGAATCAGCAGCAGTACCAGCAGCAGCAGTACCACCACCAGCAGCAGCAGTAAAACAGCAGCAGTACTACCACCACCAGCAGCAGTACTCCACCAGCAGCAGCAGTAAAGCAGCAGCAGTACTACCACCAGCACCAGCAGCAGAAGTACAAGCAGCAGCAGCGTATACCAACAGCGGCAGTAAAAGTAGCAGCAGTACTACCACCACCAGCAGCAGCAGCAGCAGCAGTACCAGCAGCAGCAGTAAAAGCAGCAGCAGTACTACCACCAGCAGGTACCAGTAGCAGCAGTAAAACAACAGCAGTGCCAGCAGAAACCAGCGGTGCCAGTAGCAGCAGTAAACAACAGCAGTCCAGCAGTACTCTAGCAGCAGCAGCAGCAGCAGAAGTACCAGCAGCAGTACTATCACCAGCAGTACCAACAGCAGCAAAATCAGCAGCAGTACTGCACCACCAGCAGTACCACCAGCGGCAGCAGCAGCAGCAGTGCCAGTGGCAGCAGTAAAACAACAGCAGTACCAGCAGTACTACTGGCAGCAGCAGCAGCAGCAGAGTACCAGCAGCAGTACTATCACCAGCAGTACCAACAGCAGCAAAATCGCGCGGCAGTACTACCACCACCAGCAGTACCAGCAGCAGCGGTAAGCAGCAGCAGTACTACCACCAGCAGTACCAGCAGCGGTACCAGCAGTACTACCACGCAGCAGCAGCAGCAGCAGTACTACCACCAGCAGTACCAGCAGCAGCAGTAAGCAGCAGCAGTACCAGCATTAGCACCCGGCAGCAAAGCAGCAGCACTAGCAACTGCTCTACCAGCATCAGCAGCTGCACTACACCAGCAGCAGCAGCAACAGCAGCAGCAGCGGCTGCTCTACCAGCATCGATAACTGCACTACCATCAGCAGCAGCAACAACACCATCAGCACTACACAACCAGCACCAGCACCACCAACCCAACAGTACCATCACCAGCAAAAGCAGCAGCAGGGAGTAGTGCCAGAAACAGAACCAGCAGCAGCAGCAGCACTACCAGCAGCTGCGGCAGCAGAACCACCACCAGCAGTGCCAGCAGCAGCACCAGCGCAGCAGCAGTAGCACCGAAACAGACCCAGCAGCAGCAGCAGCACTACCAGCAGTAGCAACAGCACTACCAGCAGCAGCAGCAGCACTACCAGCAGTAGCAACAGCACTACCAGCAGCAGCAGCAGCACTACCAGCAGTAGCAATAGCACTACCAGCAGCTGCAGCAGACAGACCACCACCAGCAGTACCATCAGCAGCACCAGCAGCAGCAGCAGTAGCACCATAAACAGACCCAGCAGCAGCACTAGCAGTGCCAACTGCAGTAACAGCCACCAATTGGATGTTTCATATAGATAGATAGAAAATGAATCACACACACACACACACACACACACACACACACACACACACACACACACACACACAACACACAACACACACACAACACACACACACACACACACACACAACACACAACACACACACACACACACACACACACACACACACACACACACAACACACAACACACACAACACACACACACACACACACAACACAACACACAACACACACACACACACACACACACACACACACACACACACACACACACACACACACACACACACACAACACACAACACACACACAACACACACACACACACACACACAACACACAACACACACACACACACACACACACACACACACACACACACACACAACACACACACAACACACACACACACACACACACACACAACACACAACACACAACACACACAACACACACACACACACACACACAACACACACAACACACACACAACACACACACAACACACAACACACACAACACACACACAACACACACACACACACACACACACAACACACACACACACACAACACACACACACACACACACACACACACACACACACACACACACAACACACACACACACACACAACACACAACACACACAACACACACACACACACACACACACACACACACACACACACACACACACACACACACACAACACACAACACACACGACACACAACACACAACACACACACACAACACACACACACACACACACACACACACACACACACACACACACACACACACACACACACACACACACACACACACCTCTTCTTTCCTCTCGTTCTCTATCTTTCTCTCACTTCTCTACTCTCTCTCTCCTCTTCATCTCCCCCTTCCTCACGCCTTCTAACACCTATCGATTCAAATATCACAGATCAATTTGGTTGATTACTTTCACGTGTGGCACGACGCCCCTCTCCCCTCCCCCTCTCTTTCTCTCTCTTCCTTCCTTCCTTCTCTCACCTTCACTCCTTCCCTCTCTCCCACATCCTTTCCTTTTTTCTTTCCTCTCTTTCTTCCTTTCTTTTCCATCCCTCTTTCTCTCTCCTTCCCTCTTACTATGCTTCTTCTTCTCCTTCCTCCTCTTACCTCCTTTATCCCTCTCACTCCGTCTCTGGCATCATCAATTACCCAGTTTCTTCTCCTCACCTCACTTCAACCTTCCCTCTCTATTCTACTCCACTCCTCACTTCCCTCTCACTCCATCACCCTCATCCCTTCTCCCCTCTCCCAATTTTTTTTTATACCCCCTCACTCTTTCTCCTTCTCCTTTCCTCCCCCATTTTCCTCTCCCTCATACCCTTTTCCTCCTCCTTTCCTCCTCCCCCTGCGCCCTCCTCCTCTCTCCTCCTCCTTCGACTATAAACAGAATAATCGTCACCTTTTCAGTTTCTGTTATTGGTGTTTCATTAACCATCTGTTGTCCTGTTTGTCTTTTCATTTACCGTTGCTTTCTTTTCTTGTTTCATCTACCGTTGTCTCCTGTTTGTTTTATCTACCGTTGTCTCCTGTTTGTTGTATCTACCGTTGTCTCCTGTTTGTTTTATCTACCGTTGTCTCCTGTTTGTTGTATCTACCGTTGTCTCCTGTTTGTTTTATCTACCGTTGTCTCCTGTTTGTTTTATCTACCGTTGTCTCCTGTTTGATTTATCTACCGTTGTCGCTTCTTCTGTTTCATCTTCAGTTGGCAGGTGGTTTACAAAAGGTCTATTACAACAGGTGGTTTACAACAGGTGGTTCATGAGAGGTGGTTTACAACAGGTGGTTCATGAGAGGTGGTTTACAACAGGTGGTTCATGAGAGGTGGTTTACAACAGGTGGTTCATGAGAGGTGGTTTACAACAGGTGGTTCATGAGAGGTGGTTTACAACAGGTGGTTCATGAGAGGTGGTTTACAACAGGTGGTTCATGAGAGGTGGTTTACAACAGGTTCATGAGAAGTGGTTTACAACAGGTGGTTTACAACAGGTGGTTCATGAGAGGTGGTTTATAACAGGTGGTTCATGAGAGGTGGTTTACAACAGGTGGTTCATGAGAAGTGGTTTGCAACAGGTGGTTCATGAGAGGTGGTTTACAACAGGTGGTTTACAACAGGTGGTTCATGAGAGGTGGTTTCAAACAGGTGGTTGATGGGTGGTGATTTACAACAGGTGGTTCATGAGGAGGTGGTTTACAACAGGTGGTTCATGAGGTGGTTTACAACAGGTGGTTCATGAGAGGTGGTTTACAACAGGTGGTTCATGAGAGGTGGTTTACAACAGGTGGTTCATGAGAGGTGGTTTACAACAGGTGGTTTGCGTGTTTTAGGTGTTTGGAAGTTTGTACTGAAGAGGCAGGTAGACAGTGTTGCAGTTGTTTGAGGAAGTTTGTTTATTTTGTGTGCATGTGTTACTGAATGGTGTGTGTGTGTGTTTACTTTGTGTGTGTTTCAATGGCATGTGTGTGTGTGTGTGTGTTAATTGTTCACTAGTAATACAGAGGACTACTGACGGTGGCTCAAGGAGATGAGATCAGTAATAATACGAGTATATATATATAAATATTAACATAACCAGGCTGGACATAAGGTTTGTTATGTTATCTGGTAATATTGTAAAGAACATCAAGAAGGATGAGAAGATGGCTGGGATTGGCTGCCATCATCCTATCGCTCATCATCTTCAACAGTTGGTTTAATGAGGATGTGGCGGCGGGCGGGAGGTGTAGCAGGTAGGAGGAGACGCCCAGGGTCGCCCTACAACGATATATAGTTCAAATATTGAGGGACAACAATTTTCTTTCTTCTATTTTCAGGTTACATTAGTGTCTCGCTGCCGCACAAGCCCCTTCTTGGCCGCCTCACTTTGATGGTAACCAGACATTTGTGGCCCTTTTGCGCTATTCGTCCTGAGTGGCAGGGACGAGCTACGCCTTCTTCACCCTATTGGCCAGGATCCTTGTAACCAATCGACCCCATTGGCTGATTGGTAAGTGAGGCATGCGCGGAAGGGACCAATAGGAATGGAGGAGGGCGGGGCGCCGTATTCCCCGCTGTGTCGGGTGGGCTTTATGTCTGAGTCGTCAGTGTTATTTGGCGCTGCCTATTTAGAGGTTGACTGTGTGTGATTTAGTGAAGTGTTGAGATTCGCTGGGCTTCTGCTGGACTGTTGGGCATTTATCCGCCGCTATGACGGAGACAATTAAAGGTAAGGTCGCCAGGAGGTGTTGTTACCTGTACGTACGCTGCGACGACTCAGGTATAAGGGCGGGAATAATATTATTATCTTAACGCAACGAAACCCTAGCGATGCGTCGTTAAAAATTACTAAAGACGGCGACGTTGATTTAAGGACGTGTACGTCTATCTCGCTGTCATGACGTCACGTACGTATTACTACTAGACATAAAGAAGATGATAATAAATAATAATATACAATGACCGGGAGGAAACGGTATGATAATTAGGCCAAGGAATGATAATGTCTCCCGGACCGACTCGCTATACCAGTCCAGACCACAAACAAACACTGTACCTTATCCTTCACCAACGTTAAGACGCCCACCACAGTAGCTGTCGTCAGAGGCAGCGAGAGTGTCGTGGATTTTGTGGTGAGGAATTTAGTCAACAAAGCGACAGGGGGACAATGTTTACCCGGGCCTGGCTGTGGTGGTGGTGGTGGCTACTGTGCCCCCTCACACACTGCCCAGTGTTGTCTTACGGTACTTTTACCTTACGTTACCTAAACTTACCTTGGAGACGATGATTTACCTTATGATATAATATCTTACCTATAACGATATCGACCTTACCTTAGGGTATCTATTGTACCTTACTATATCTACTTAACGTTGGGAATATTGCTTATAGATTAGGTTAGCCGCGTCAACGTACAATATCTACCTATACCTTTATCACCTACTTTGTCTACCATACCTATACGATAACTACAGTACCTTATGGCATCTATCGTACATTAGGACACTCACCCTGCGATATCTACCTTACTATAGGGTAAAGGTATCTTACATTAACACACGCACACCAACACGGCTCAACAGTACCTAAGAATCAAGGCATAAGATGAACATATTTAGAACACCATGCCTATGCGGTCATCGCCTCCATAACAACAACAACAAAAAGGGAACCATGCCTACATTGTTCAGCCCCGTGTGTGTGTGTGTGTACCTCCAGCCTCCACTGAGAGAAATTCTTGCTGTTATTCAAATGTTGATGAAATAATATATAAGATATGTAGTATAATAGTGAAGTATATATAGTGTATAATATAGTTGAAATATATACTATAGAGGATATATATTCAGCGTGAAGGGGCATTATAAAGGATTCTTTTTATATACTCTTACGGTCAAGAATAAAACCATAACGTGAAGATGATTCGTGAGGTTTACTATAGAGTCACTACACCTTCGTCATGCTTGTAGTGAGAGAGGTTATCCGTCTTTACACACCACCAAGACCACTGTTACACTTTATAGTCAAGACCTGCACACGACAACCCTCCCTGGAGATAATTATGACCAATGACTCTCTCTCACCCTCCTTCCTTCCCTCCCTCCTTGTGACCCAAACACGACAGGAACACCATAATATGTACAGTTCCTGAGTCTTATATTCAAGTTGCCTGTTTATAAGACTTCAAAGACTTGTTATGCTGATTGATTATATTAAAAACAAATGTCTCTTTAAAAAACAAAATCAATAACAATAACACTGACTTCTGATCGATCGATAACTTAAACATATTTATGGGGGAACTCTATGTCATCGCCGTCAGGAAGAAATGAACCGTGATAGACCGAGTTCTTGTAGCCGATCACAACAGAACACTCCGCATTACCAAACAGGAGGTAGTTATGATTTTAATACTGTTTTATATATGAAGACTGAAGTACCATCAACCACTTGCTTACCGATACTTTCCAATCTGAGAAATATAGATCGAGAAAGATGAGAAATATTGAATACTCCGGTTAGTGTATATTGTATGGAACTAGATGGGTTATGTGATGCAGTATTAGAGAAATATTGACTTGAGAACCGTGTTAATATTAGTTCTGGGATGAAGATTTTTAATTACTAAGAGATTATCAGTTTCGTCTAGGCGGAGATTAAATTATTCTACGTAAAGTTATACAGTTCTTGGACAAAATCCCAATACACAAAATTTCCTACTGGACAAAAATCTTACGGGTGAATTTTTTTTTTATTGGACAATTTCCTCATCAAATTAATATTAAAATTTGATCTCGTTTTCTTGGTCAGTTCTTTTTAGGGATTTTGTCCGTATTTTAGTGAACGATCTATGTACACATACACTCGTGAACGTATTAATGTACTTGCATAACAAAACCAGTTGATTAATTAAATTCATTTTGGCCAATCATCGGACAAAATCAAATTAGATATGGAAGAATTGATTGAATTATATAAATCATCACTAGATATATTTAATTCTTTATATTAATTATATTTGAAAGTATTCCAAAGACTGTAATTAAAATAATCTTTTGTGTTTTAGCAGTGTGTCTGTGTGTACTAATTAATTAAAGAGTTTTGTGTACAGTAATTAGTATAAATGATCGAGATTACTATAATTTACGTAATATGATGAATCCTTTATTTGAATATTATAATAGATGCATAATAATTATTACACACACATAACACAAAGCATTCTATTTAATCACGGTAATTGTTAAGGAGCCAAAACCTCAAAAAACACTGATTTAATATTTTTAACAAAGATTTTATGATCTTTGTTGATGTGTCAAGTTGTGTTGTGTTGTGTCATCCATCAACCTGCGTCTTTGCTTCATCAATCACCGCTTCAATGTTGTCTTATTAATTGTTTCATTGATTCATTATTTCGTGTTTCACTTTCTTTGTCAGTGCGTCATTAATCACGGTGTCATTGTCTCCTCCTCGTCAGTTTTCGCGTCCTTGCGTCATCAATCAGTGCGTCATTGTTTCCTCGACAGTTTCGGCGTCGTTGCGTTATCAATCAGTGCGTCATTGTCTCCTCCTCGTCAGTTTCCGCGTCATTGCGTCATCAATTGCCGGTTCATTTATGCCATCAACCAGTGCGTCATTGCGTAAAATGTCATCGCCTTCCTCAATCGCTGCTGGTTCATTGCTTCACCGATGACCGCAGGAGCCAAACCGCAAGCTTACCGCCCCCTTCTATAGATATATTTCTATCCCGTATAATCCAGTGAGAAATGTTTCTAACGTCACGTGAGGAATATTTTCATGTCTATTATGGTTCTGAGAAATTTATCTACCGCTCTAGTGAGAAATATATTTATGATTCAGTGAGGAATATTTATATCATTAGTATATATCTGAGAAATATTTATATCGATTTGAGAAGTGTTATATATAATTGCCATAGTTTTGGGAAATATTATAATAGCACTGAGAAATATTTTTGTCCTGTGCTAAGGGAAATAATTCATCGTCTACTGTGAAATATTTCTATCGTCCTCGGGTAAATATATCCTCTTGTGCTCTGAGGAATATTATATCGTTACTTTTGAGACAGATTCCACGTTATTTGAGAAATACTCTGTCGTCCTTCCCATACACTGAGAAATATTCTACTTTCCATGAGAGTTATAAGCAATACCTTGTTGAACTCTGAGTAATATCACTTCTGAGAAATACCTAATCGTTCTTGGGAAATATTTTGCCGTCCCTAGGAAATATTTAGCCTCCTATTGCCCTTTGAGAAGTATTTGCCCTATGAGGAATATTGTGATGGCTCAGTCGTTATCTTAGTGATAATAACCGTTAGATCACCTTATCGTTCTTTAACAGGGTGTGATATGTTATCGTATCTCCCTCTTCGTGTTATCATTAGCACTTGTTATCTTCATTATACCGTATATAGTTCATATGTTATCAGTATCATGTATCAATATATCATGCTATCAATATCATTATGTGTTATCTTTTATCAGTATCATGTTATTAATATATCATGCTAAAAGAGTTATTTCATTTGTTATATTAGGTCATGTTATCGTATATGTTATCAGTATTATAGTATGTAATAAATGTTAAACCTGTTTTTGTTGATTATTTTTAGTTCCAAATGTTAAAAAAAACGACAATTAATATATATATTTTCACCGACTATTTTTCCAATAATTTTAAAATGTCAAAAATAAATACAAACATCACTGCTAATATGGAGTGAAATTTTACAGGAATACGAGTTATGTAAATACGATTTTTAAATAATACATATAAACAATATTATATAATTTATATAGATTTTAATAAACTAATTCGTTAATTTTATATATTGATTATATTAAAAAAAATCAATAGGTCACTGAACGGACATTTCACATTCCTCGCTTATAAAAAAGACGACTAGTTATGTGTGTGTGTCTCATATTTCCTGATCATTAGAACTCCATAATTAAACCAAGAATTTATAAAAAAAAAAATATATTATCTCTTCCGTTCAGAATCACAATAATAGACAGAGCGACGGTGTGTTAGTAGCCTCCTGTTGATATTGATTTTATATACAAAGTAGAATTTTATGATAATATTAGATTACATGTTAAATAAATCACCAATGAAAGCTTAACACGGCAGTACAGTAGATCATATTAGTAGTAATTCGAACTACTAAACGGAGTCATTTCATATCGATTTTCTAAAAGAAGCAGTGACATGTATAGTGTGTGTGTGTGTGTGTGATTGTGTAGTAATAACAACCAACACTTATACTACCACTATTACTACGTATTAATACTAATGGGTTATCATCATTATCATTATTATTATTATTATTATCATCATTATTATTATTATTTGATAACTCACTCATACTATATTTCTGAATCAATGATCGCCGTCTTATACAATGCAGACCTCATTATACTCACAAGAGTCGAGAGATGATCTTAATTTACATATTTTTTCTTATTTTCTTCTGATAAAACTTCTGACATACAACCTTCATTTACATAATTATTGAAAACAAAATTGGTTGCCTAATAAGTTATTCACGGCGTGTGGTTCTTTAGTTCACTAGTGTAAAGGTAATAAATAAACTCGATAATAATAATAACAATAATAATAAATAAATCATCTTGGAAATAATAATAATAAATGAATAAAAAAAAAATAATAATAATAATGGGAATAAATAAACTAAATAATAAT